CCTAAGTCTTATGAGAGTCTCCCCTTTTGTCCCCCTGGTTCACATATTTCACTCGATCTCTGCCACCTCATATGTGCTTCATGAGGCGTTATTTCCCACGCTGCGTCTGCTAGACTAACTTGAGACTAAAGGCTCTGAGTAATTATCATCTTCAAGCCTTTATTAATGGACCACATCTATGGTAGAACAGGTCTACTGTCAGCCAACTAGCTCTAGTCTCCGCCGCGTTTATCCTGTTTCTATCCCTTATACCAGTAATTCCCAAACTGAGCGCCGCGGCGCCCCGGGGAGCCGCGGCCTATTTACAGGTACGCCGCTAAATATAGTAAAAGCTTCAATTTGAGAAAATGTTAATTGATTTGCTAACTCATCCATCACATTAATTATTAAATATTAATTTAATGTTAATAAAGTAAAAAAATAATGAAGATACACGTTTTTTTTTCTCTTACGAATAATCACACTTAGGGTAGGGCACCATGAAAAAATTTTAATTGAAAAGGTGCGACGTGACGGAAAAGTTTGGGAACCACTGCCTTATGCCAAGTCTATGACTTAGTATGCCCTGGTCCCTTGTGTGCCAACTCATAAATGTTATAGTACTGCTTGCTTCGATTAGGTCCAATGTTGAACCACAACATTTGTGGGGTGGCCCACAAGAGACTAGGGCATAGCAAATCATAGACTTGGTATTAGGGCTAGAAACAGGATAGACGCGGCGAAGACTAGAATTATTTGGCTGAAAGTAGGCCTGTTTAACCATAGACGTGGTCCATGACGCAAAGACTTGACCATGACGATTACCTGAAGTCTTCAGCCTCAAATTACGCTAGCAACACAGGGAGATAGCAGACGGATCATACGGAGCAAGAGGGAGACTGATAAGACATATGGAAGGAGGACGGCGTAACAATATGGCGGACTCTGATCAACATTCCTAGCATGGAGTGTGGCAGGTTCTCATGGAAGCCGCTCAAAATGGCACACCACTATATTGAAATAGGAAGGAAAAAATGTGATACGAGAATATAGGATAGATGTATGGCCCAGGATAGAAGAGATGCCACAACTGCTTAGCACACATTTGGTTAAAGGATCGGCTTCGCTTGTCTCTGATGAGTTATAGTATGGTGCTAAGAGTGGCAAGACTCAGTGACGATGCCGGCGAAACGTCTAAGATTGTACCATGTCCTTGGTCCTACTTTGAAATTTATCATACATACAATGGACTCCAGACTAGATGCGTTCCTCTAAGCCTTCCCACCAATATGACCAATTTGCGAAAACAAGGTCAAACAACTAAATATAACTGCTTCATCGACAATCTTACCAAAGAATGTGATATGGAAAAATGCCTGGCCTTCCTTGAAATTCACGTCTGCCCAGTGAAATAAGGGTACTCGTGGCAGCATGGCGGATTGGTTTTCGTGTTAAGCATACACGCTGCACTGTTATGGTTTGACTCCCGCTGGGGGTATTTATAAGACCTAGGCTAGGTCGAAACTCCAGTCCACTCTGGATGAGAACAACTTTTGGGAAAGCAAGGCTGTGTGAGATTCATTTGAAACGTCAGCTCTATTCATATCATTGTGGGAAGATTCAACTACCATCCCTTCAGCTTAATCGAGATAGGGTGAATACATCTCGTCTCGAAACCCTACTTACGAACGTATAATCTGAGCCTAATTTGAGATGATAATACCTTATTTCGCTCTATCTACGAGTAAAAGTACCACCTAAATGCACTTTATAATAGCATTAGTAGCGATATTGGTCAAGGTTTGTATTTTTCATGAAATAAGTTATAATTACCGTAAAAATTTTTCAAACATCACTTAATATCACTGAGAGATTTTATATAGAAAATAAAATAATAACTAAGCGGAACCAGTGAAGGATAAATATTTTGGACAACTCTCTATGCAACGTAGAGGACAGTAATTATCTACAGGTTTTATTTATAGCATAATGAATCGTAATGTAGGACAGTAATATAGGCAGTTTCCAAGTGGTGATACCTCGGCGCTAACCTATAGTTATGCCTTATTCTTGGTAACAATGTTATCAAAATGTTTCGGTAGTCATGTTACGTTATTTGAAATTATCACAATTGAGTTTACACTCATGCTCCTATAGGACCCCGTCTGCTTAGTTGTGCACAATCATTGGCGGGAACGAATATAGAATATCGTAATGATATGATCTTCAAAATTTGATTGCGAAAACAAGGAAAAACAACCTCTATACAACGAAAGGAGACTGCGACCACACAGAAGGCCACACAATCTTGGTCTTCATACCTTTGATTAACTCATAAATTGAGTTTAGTGCATTTGTGTACATAAGCACAAGTTGGATAAAGCAAATTTAAATAATATCGATCAATTTCATAAATGTAACGAAATGTTTGAACTTTTATGTTGTTAAATAATCCTGCTGTTGTGGCTAATATCACCTATAAATACATCCCAACAGGAAAGGCTATATAGCAGACTATCAGCTTGAAAAATGAATCTTTTGGCAAGTCATCATGGCTTACAGAAATTTTTCCTCAAAAAGTCAATGGTGAACAAAATAAAAGATAAAAAATGAACTCATTCCGAAATCGTTTAAGCATATAAAGCTTGAACTTGATACCCACAAATACAAGCTAGAATAAAAATGTAGTAGCATAGTAAAAAGAATGAGACCAATTATTAAGAAAAAATAACGGGAAAGATGCTTCATTAATAGAGTATTACCGGGCAAAGACAAAAATAAAAATGTCGGGAATTGTGTTCAAATGTACCTGATTTCCAAAAAACCCTCTGTCACAAAAAAACATAGTAATAATGAAAGACAACAGTTTGGGAAAAATGATTATTTGTATAACCATAGAAAGTGAAAATAGTGCCGACTAAAATTGGCAAGATAAGTTGCGGCGAAATTAGAAAAAAATTATCTGATATGATGAAACATGGGCCAATTAGTATCAAACGCAGAAATGGCCAATGATAAAAGAAATTTTTGGTCACAGAAGTGATCTATATTCCACCTATAAAGATTGGATTTGGAGAGATCTTAAGTGAGCTGACTTTTTGGTCTGCTTAGAGCTAATGCATAAAGGCAACTCAGAATCCAACTCCAAACAGCATTTTTCTAAATCGAAATCTGTCCTGTTCGTCCAATTCTGCTGCTCTAACCTGCAATCAAGAGCTGACATGGTGGCGGCTAGGCGAATCCTCTTGATAGAGGCAAGTCGCGATCCGTGAAGTTTGTAGTTCGACCAGGCAGCCAGCTGAAGAAGACCGGCGAGAAATGGAATTCCGGTGATGAGAATAAGACAAGCCGAGCGAACCAAGCTAGTCTCGGAGGAAGCGAGAGCTTTAAAGTCAACATTGAGGCCCGTTTGCAGGTGCAGACGCAAAGACGGATCCGATAGCTGGTTGGATGGCGGCGATATGAAAGAGTTTATATCTGAGGCGCCAACTGATACCTCATCGGATAGATTAGTAGCCAAAGACAGTCGTGGGCTGCCAGATACATCAGCCTCGATAGAAGTACCGGAAAAAGGAAAATAAAGCCACTTATGCCCAGTAAGCATTTCAAACGCGCTGACGGAGACCAGAGGAGCTAGCGACTGGCCCGGTCGGGCTAGAAGAGCAGCTGATCCGAAGATGAGTGCAGAGAGCGGTTCTAGGCGACGGGCCCTGACAGTGTCTTCGTCAACAAGGTCACTAGTCACCTGGGAGAGAAGGCGGCAAACGCCCTCCGTGAATATGCGATTGCTAGAGAAACAGTCAGAAGTTAGGCAATTGAATACAGAGCAGGAACACGAATAAAACAATATTCGCCAATATATTCCACTGAATATTATGTAAGATAAAGGCTCTTGCTCAAAACAAGAATATCCTGCATAAATAAATGTTTGAATATCCTTAACATGCATGATTTTGGGTAACCAATGGTAAATTGAGCCCTAGCTACTAGTTGAGGATAATGTATAAAATAGCCTGAATGTCATAGGGATAAAGAAAAATCGGGTTTCGATGAATATTATGAGATAAAATCGTTGTGGAGACTTTTGGTTCGTATGAAAGAGTATGGCGAAGAGATTCTTAACTTAATATTAACTGGAGACTTTTGCAAGTATGAATCCAGGCTATGAGGATATTCGTCATATGACGAAAGAAAGCTCAGCCCTTTTTCGCCCTAAACGAGGGAAGCTGAAAACGAATTGGTCTTAGCTCAGTGTGAACCAGATAAGAAGCGAGAAACTCTCACCTAAGCCTCGTGACAAGCCATTATACGACAAACAATGGCATTACGGAGCATGTTTTCAAATACAAATCCTCTTTGAGGTCATATCGAATATCCAATAAGCTAGTGGAATGAAGACAATTAGGCCACTATATCTGTGAATAATTTTCCATGTGGCTATGATCGATTAAATTAGGTGCTCAAGTGGAATGTGTTTGCGATTTTTACAAGATACAAATGACAGAATACATTAGGAATATTGAACTAGTGAGTTTTCTGTTAAAGTTATTGTGCAAAAAAGAGATTAAACGGCTACTTTTCTATATACCCGTCATACGTATGTACGTAAATCATAAGGCAGCAGATGCGTTTATCCGCATATATTAAGAATAACTGTGTTGTGTGAGCCTATTTTTAAGCCAAACACTAAACAGGGCTTCAGCTAATTATTTTCTATTTTAATCTCCTGTGCATTTGATTTCTAGACTGCTTCCTTGACCATCTCCCTGGTATCTTTCCAAGGGCAGGCGGTCTTGCGATTGCTTTTCTGTCGATTTTGGGCCAATTTCGATATTTCCGGCCTATCTATGTCCGCTGTAGTATTGTTTTATCCAAATTTGCACTTTTCTACTCGTTTTTCCAATAATAAGTTAGTTCAATCCAAAGAAAACGAGTCAAATATAGAGTCAGTTGGGCGATAATTTTACGCCAAAAAATATTGTATAATTGACATTGAATTGTTGATTTTGCTCTGGAAAAGAAAATTCATTTGTAAGCTCGTAAAAACTATTCCCTTAAGGGCCCTGCCTCACAATGAAATAGAAACAGGTAATTGATAAAACATCTACAATTAATGACATTCAGAGATCCCATATCTAGTAAGGATTGAGGTAGTGAACATCTGCTAAAACTTTTTATTCTGAAACTACAACGACCATAGAGACAAGATCAAATTCAATATCGCGTGTGAGATTAAATAAATGGGAGAAATATTAGTAGAATCGATAAATCCCTCA